ATTTAATGGCAAAACATTTGTTTGCTGTGCATTAAATGTAAAGTTATCACATAGCACTTTTCTAAGGAAGTTTAAAAGGTTGCTCCTGTAATAGCTGGAACACTCTCTCTGTTCCCCTTTCTTAAAAATCTGTGGTCACAACTTTAAACACAAGTCATAAGATGGAAAATAGCTGTAAGGCTATTTCATATGGTTATATAGTATTACCTCCTTGATGGCTTACAGTCTCCTGGCGCTCTCCATGTCTTTTCTCCATCTTCTGAAGGTCCATTTTTTTCACAAGGTGGCATTTAACGTCATCATTAAAAGAAAAGCACCACACCTACAACACAGGTGTCTTTTCACATTTGGAGGGTTGCTATGTAATGTTGAGAGTCCTGGTGTGATCTGTCTCCATCACTAACCTGTCCATCAGTTGAGCCGGTGATAAGGTGCTGTTCCCTCTCCAAGAATAAAACGCTAAGTAGGGGAGATCCTACAAGAAATAAGATTGTTATATTAGGTTAATTCATTTTGAAATGCCCTAACATATTGCTTCAAAAACAAGCAAATTATGGTTATTCTAAAAAACCAAAACAAAAAATTATTTTTTCATTTATTTAGGGGGAAAAGGTATCAAAAAAAAAAAAAAAAAAAATGAAACTCATCATAAATATCTATCTATCTATCTATCTATCTATCTATCTATCTATCTATCTATCTATCTATCTATCTATCTATCTATCTATCTATCATATTCTAGTGTATACATTTTGGGTTATACATTTTCGGTTATACATTTTCTCCAGTCATCAGTGTAATGTATTTTACCTGAGAGTACAAAGGATTGATAAAAAACACCTCCAGTTTTTAAATCCCAAACCTGAAAAACATTAGGAAAAGAGCAAATAACAAAAATTGTATGCATACATACATGCACACATACATACATGCATGCATACATACATGCATGCATACATACGTATATACATACATAGACCCACACAGACAGACAGACAGACAGACAGACAGACAGACAGACAGACAGACAGACAGACATAGAAGCACCTTAAAAGTTCGATCCTCTGAGGTGCTGACTAAAATATTAGTGTTCCAGGGACAGAACTCTGCAGATGTTAAAGGTCCAAGGTGACCCTTTAATGTGTGAATCACTTCCTGTCTCTGATGCAGGAGACAAAAGCAAAAGTCAGATTTGAAGCCACAAAATGCATTTCCAACACTATGTGATGTGAAAATCAACTGTCTACAAGCAGCATTTACAACATATAACCCTTAAGACTAAGAAAGAATTTGTTTGAGTGGACATAAGTGTTTTTACCTATGTGTGACAATAGCTCTCGAACTAATATGCCCAAATTCTGTGTCCAGTTGGCAGAATGTTCATGAGATTAACACTGGGTCTATACTTAATGGAGGAGAATTAAATGCATTGGTATGCACGAATAATGGTATTTGTGCATAGCTACTTGTATGTTTAATATTTTATTATGTACCTTTGAACTGAGAACATGCAGGGTTGTTCCTGAGCATGCAGCCACTCGTTCATCAGAGAAACAGAATGAGAGATGTACAACCTTCCCCAGTAAAGTCCCGATCACTGTTCCAGCAGCAAGTTTACCTGCAAACAAATCCAAAAGTCTATTTAAACTGATTATTTAGGAAGTTTGGAAACAAAAGGGTCCAAGTGATAAACAGCTGATTACTAAACAAATTTGGGAAAACATTGTGAGGTAAAACATTCATATGTGGAAAGAAAATCATTAGTATAACAATACTCTATGGCATTCATATTACAGGATTACAAAGTAGAAACTATCGTACACAAAAAAATAGTTTTACCCTCTTGTCTTCTTTTCTGACATGCTTCAATGTCCCAGATGATAATATAATCAGAAGAGGCAGAACAAAGGATAATGGGGCTGCTTTTTTTCCCAAAGGTCATGGCAGTGATGTCATCGTGGTGACCTGTTAGCACCAGGGGCTGTGGATAAGAAGAAACTATTCAAGTTTTCCTTAGACTTAAAGCAAAACTATATAGGTCTATGTCGTTATATATTAGTGTTAAGTGGTTTAAATGAAACAAGAAAAGATCCATTGCATGTAAAAGAATAATATTTAACAAACCTTTTGTTGCGTCTGCTTGTTGCTGTAAATGAGGACATTCTTACCATGCTGAGGTATGCCACTATAAGACTGGCAGCAAGCGAGCTGCTGATTAATCAGGAGTTTGTCACAAGTCAGACTCAAACTCAGCTTTCCATCTATCATTTTAACCTCCCACTTGTTGTGTAATAGTGACGGATTATGTGGTTCAAAGTGATTTAAAATAAAGTGCAATATTGCTTTGATAGGGGTTTGACGAGTTGAGGGGGGAAACAAAACAGCGTTGCTAAGACACACTTCCGCTACAAAAGATCGTGCAAAAACAGGAGATGATCCCCTGCAAATTTACGCATTCTTGTTAACTGTTAATTTCAAATTCTCAATACAGTTAATAAATCTCTATTAGTGCATAAATGCCATTACGTTATCTCGTTGTTTGCTTTACTTTTTAGTTATAGTCTATATTTGAAACGATTGGAAATACTGTTCGAGTGACACATCATTTCATAAGATCTGTACGTTAGGGTCCCCGTTTGGCCACAAGGTGGCAGCAATTGCTCATTTATAAGCACTCAATGGCTTTTCTTAAAGCGGCCAGTGGCTGCAAGTGGTCAAAATCGGCTGTTTTTTTGCTGCTTTGCACCGCAAAATTGACCAAAGATGAATTTTTTTTTATAGAAAGTGTTTTTCCGGTTGGTTGGAGGTTTCACTTGTCGTACAGACACCTAAACTCTTATATTTCGTGTTAGTTGTATCTTTTGACTGCCCCCACAACTGAAGAAAAAAAAAAACTATAAAACTAGAAAAAAATTCATCTTGTAGCTCAGAAAAAAAAAAACATCAAAGGACACACCACTAAGTAGATCATCCTGTTTGAATGGACTAAAGGGCATTAATTAATAAGCTTGACTTGAGAGGGGAGTTCTGGGAAGCGTAGTTCGCGTGGGAGCAGGCGGATATGACGCATGCACTGCGTAGCCGGCGCCGGGCCAGCAGGTGTTGTGCTGAAAAAGTAATCAGCCTGAAATGAGCACCTCGTCGTTGTAGAAAAGACAGGTCATTTTGAGCGAAGTTGTAATAAAGAAACAAGTTGCGCCTTTTTAATTGTGGTTATTAACTAGAAAAGAACTGATATTTAGTAATCAAATACGAAGGAAAATACAATATTACCGCTTAATATGTACCTTAAATAAATTATAGAGGAAATAATAAAAACATGTATTGTAAATGTTATTTATTATTCGTAAAGTAACTATTTATTGACGCAATTATATATCTGTTTGAAATGAAAAGCTTTATAGCAAACTCTGACCCCTGCACTGACTTTTAATGAACTCAGCTTTCCTTTACCTGCCGGGGCGCTTTTTTCGACGGAACACCGGTAGCTAGCCATCATCGTCTGCAGTGAGCTTTGCAGCAGTTGGATGAATCAGTTGACGTTGACAGACCTTGGGCTATGACAGTGCTTTTGTAGTACAGAGCTAACTTTAGCTAGACTGTTAGCATAATATCTTGGAATTACGTTGCTTGAACGAGAATAATACCGGTCATAATGAGTTTTTATTTTTCTTAACGTTACGTTTTCCGGTAACATACATTTCCTTTTTTTAAATGACGTCGGGAGTGTTGTTTTTTTCAAAGGAGTGAGTGTAACTTGGATAAATTTCAAGCTAGCGTCTCCTAACTTGGTACTGTGCGGGCCACATTAACCTCACTTTTCAGCCGGGAAAGTAGCTACTCGGGTAGCCGTTATTTGAACCGGGTAGCAGACAAAACGTGCCCCGTTAGCCTGACCGAAGTGGAAATAAATAGCTAGCATAACGAAGCTAGCCGGTTTGAAGTAATATGAAAAAGGCACAGTCGGACACATTGGGTTTTATTCCTCAGAAAGACATTGTATACAACAAACTTTTACCATACGCGGATAGGCTAGATGATGAATCCAGCGAGATTTTGAGCAGAATAAAGGGGAACTTGGGCCGAGCTGTACAGCTGAGAGAGATATGGCCCGGTGTGCTATTTTGGACAAGAAAACTTTCAACGTAAGTACCGCTAATCTGCCATCAGTGCTATTTATTCCTCATTGAATAAATGAGAAAGCGTGAGGTTTTTTGACATAAAAAAACAATAGATCTTTTGTATATGATTGTATGTAAATGTTTATATAGAAAATAAGAGTTTTGTTTGGTTTAAACTTTTATTATACATTTTAACAAAACTTTAATAGAAATACTCGCTTTGTAGCATGTTTTTTGTTGTTGTTATGACACACAAAATAATACACAATGGTGAATCGCCAGTAAAGTAGTGTTTATGTGCTGATTAGGATACTTATCGGTTTCATAATCTGGGTCGGGACTGTTACACACAATGCGTGACCCAGACTAGCAGTACCAGGTCATGGTAGTTTTAGCAGTGTTTTTCCTAAGCTTTAGCTCTTTTATTTCTTCTTTTTTATTTTCTAACTCATCGATACAGATGAGCCTTATCCTATAAAATGTGATTTTGTTGCGTTTCCTTTGGCACTTCCGCCCAGCTTTTCTATCAAAATAAACGAAGCTTTTAATTTGCAGAGTCATGATGGGGACGACGACATCTTGCTGCTTTATTAAATATCAGTAGTTTCGCAATCAGTTTTATGAAAACAGTAATTTGCTAAGTATCCATACGGTTCTAATTGTTTCTTACCTGTTTGTTAATTAATTTGTTTTATTAGGAATACACTAATTTAGTGATTTGTTATTTTTATGTCATGGTACAACCTTGAAAGCTTCAGTGTAAATATTAAAACAAACAACAAAAAAAGTATATACTATGTTTCTAACAGTAAACCACCACTTACCCTATAGTTATAACTGAAAATAATGTTTATTATTATTTTTTCTGTCTAGGGCTGCAGCTGTGGATTATTTTGTAACCAAATAATCTGTTTTCTTGTTTGTTTTTCCAGTTAATAGATTAATCTAATAATATATGCTTTTCCCTCCCATTCAACAATCAGGAAGAAAAATGTACTTAATACATTTAAGCATTGCCAAATCAGGACAAAGTCTGAACCTACTTTCTGGTGGCTCTGTATGCAGCTCATTAGAAAATGGACCATAACGGGTATCAAAATTTAACTTTATTCATAACACTTTCTTGGTGCTTGTTAAATATTGTACATCTATTTTTGTTAATATTTGAAAAAAAAGTGTATAATTTAAATAATATCTTAATAGGAGGATATTTATTTATTTTCCAGATTTGAATCAGATGAAGTAAAAACTGCCACTTGAAGAATTCTCCATAAAACATATTTATTCACAAAGTGTTTCACTTTAAATGGAAAATTTTCATATTTTGCCCAGTTTTTCATTTAATTTCTACTCCGAGTGATTTCCTCTTTTAGAAAATAATATATTTTTTAAAGAGTTTGTTTACTCTTGTTCACATTCTTGATTTATAACTAAATTAGTTTTAATTAATCGATTAACCCTATTAATTGCTTCAACCCTATCTTTTATATTTGCCTTTTTTATCAAAATTTTGAAACAGGCATGATCAGGAGTATATATATATAGATATATACTCGTGTTTATTTTCAGACATGCTGTAGTTTTACTTCTTCCTCTACTTTTTACAGACCAACATAAGTATACCCAGCTGAAACTTGCTGGTACTTAGGTTCACCCTCAGGGAGTGAGGCTCATCAGACATGCTGTTCAATAGCTGCAATTGTTAAACAGCTTTACCTTGGGGTTCTTCTCCTTTAGTTTTCACAAAATCTTCTTGTGTTTATTGTAGGGATGTCTCCATACAACTTTTCCATTTTGTGATATGATACTGGTATGGCAGCTTTGAGTACTGACCAATACTGATATTGACCCAATACAACATCATCATTATTCACATATACTTTATGTTTTAGTATCGAAGTTACATTACTCAAAGAACAACAGTCAGCAACGGCAGATATTAGACCAACTGACCTATTTATTATCAACAAATAAGTACATTAACTTTAAACCAAAGCCAATAGAAGGGTATTGTTTGTATCAACTCTCTTTTATTGGAGACTTTAAATGCACAGGGATATATTCTGATAGTCATCTCCTGATTTCTGATATGTTAATGAGACATCTGTAGTTTATTATGACTGATAATATTGCCCTCTTTTAGCCATCAGTGCACACCAATAGGTTGGGGGGCACTGTGTTATTCTGTGCCATATAGTAATGGAGAAAAAAATCATAATAATGAACTAAACCAAAAGGGTGGTATAGGGAACATTTAAGCGGTTTAGATTTATTGTTTTTTTTTATGTTTCTACATGATAAAGGATAATAAAAAAATGTTTGGTTTTTTTGGTCCGTTGGTTTTTTTATAGTTAACATTTGCCTATTAGCTGTATCACAAGCTATCACAAGCGTCATTTGGCAGCTTTTTTTTTCTTCTTTCCTAAAGCTCTCAGTTGGTTTTTTAAGTGGCTCATTTGAAATAATAATAATAGTAAAATCTTTATTATTTTATTTGGATGTTTTTTGCATATATATAATTTTTTTTCATGATCATACAATTTATTGTAGGATGCTGCTATTAGTTCTTTAATAGGCGTTTACATGTATGTTACCTGGCAGTAATCACTCCTAATCTTTACTCTATTTAGGTACATGAGACTGTATGGACGGAAGTTCAGCAAAGAGGACCACGTGCTGTTCATCAAGTTGCTGTATGAGCTAGTGACGATCCCTAGACTGGAGATCAGCATGATGCAAGGCCTTGCTCGCCTTCTTATTAATCTTCTCAAGTAAGAATGGATGTAGAGATGTGCAAAATAAACTTGACACTCTCTTAACTAACAATGTTTTTGGACATTTATTAGTATTCTCATGATTGTTTCAATAATCCAACAGAAAAAAAGAACTGCTGTCGAGGGAGGACCTCGAGCTGCCATGGAGGCCACTGTATGAGCTGCATGAAAGGATTCTCTTCTCAAAGACAGAACATCTGGGTCTTAACTGGTTTCCCAAGTATGCAGTTCTTTAATGGATCATCATTTATTATTTATAAAACCCTGACCTTTAATGTGTCCTAATTGGCAAGGGTTGCTTTTCAAAGTGTAATCTGATTTTCAGCATCTCAGAAAGTTTAAAGTGCTCTACTTATTATTACTATATGTTTTTTTTTATCAATTAAAAAACACAGCTCCATACATGTTGCAGTGCATGAAAACATCAAACATTTGTATTAGAGCAGCTTTA